GGACAAGAAAACAAGCTTTTTGAGGTACTTCATTCCGATTTTGGAGCATTATTGGCTGAGTTATGCGCAAAATACTTTCATGCTGAGGCGTACATTGGCTTAGCCGATTTTCGCAGTTTTGATAAGGTTTTTAAATTTTGTAAAAAAATGGCTAAAATTTTACGTTCTCAACTTTGAATGCAGTTTTCTTGTAATTTTAAAGACGAGTTCATCGATGTATGACATTCCATATTCGGAACATTTTTGGGTTTGCTATGAGAAGAAAAGTCTGAATAGTTTTGGGCAAAGATCAGGCTTTCTCGGTTGACAGAAAATGAGCATATTTTGTATCGGATTTATATCTTTAACTTAGACAAAAAAAGACGCAGAGCTAAAAGAGCGACTGTTTTGTGCAGCTATCGACCAAAACTTGCTAGCCTAATCATTGGTTTTTTGATTTTGAGTAATTTATTTTTTGGCAATATTTCGCATTTTTGATAAGGGGTACCATCATCAAAATTTTCAAAAAATGGCCAGAAATGAAGTTTTCCAGATTTGAATGCAAATCAATTGGGAATCATGGCAATCAAGTTACGAGCTCTACGAGGTATTACATTCCTCGTTTGGACCATTTTTGGCTGTGCTATGACGAAAAAACTGATTTTTTCTGCCAAAAATCAAGTATACATGCTTTGACAGAAGAGCACGGTTTTTTTTTCAGTTTCTTAGCTCTTACTTTGTCAAAACAAGCCGCACGGCTAAAGCAATGACTGTTTTATGCAGCTAACTACCGAAACTTAAAACTCCTATACTTACTTTTGTCATTATCGTTCTGATATTTCGGTGCGAGCTCCGATTTAATGGCTGAAAAATCAGGAAACCGATTTTTATCAGAAATGATTACTCATTTGCGGGTTTTGAGCTCTAGCTCGGTCAAAACAAGACGCACAGCCAAAAGAACGACTGTTTTGTACTGCTAACGACCACCACTTACCACCCCTATCACTCGTTTTTTGATTTTGGGAAATTCAATTTTGGCCCAAATTTCGCATTTTTGATAAGGGGTACCATCATCAAAACTTGTGAAAAATGCCAAAAATTTAAGTTTTCCACATTTAAATGCAAATCGATTGGGAATCATAGGAATCCAAAAACAAGTCCTACGATGTATAAAATTCCATATTTGGACCATTTTTGGGTGAGTTATGAACCAAAAACTATAATTTTAGGGGAAAAATATGAAGAAATCAAATTTCACATTTTCGGGGTACCATCATCAAATTTTGCTAAAAATGGCTAAAAATCAAGATTTTTAGCTGTGAATACAGTTTTTATGGAAATTTAATAACGATTACAGCGAGGTATGGCATTCCCTATTCGAACCATTATTGCGTTTGCTTTGATAAAAATACTGAAACCTTTTTGAAGGAGAAAAGGGATTACGTCTCCTTAGGTGTAACCTCGTTAAACCTCGTCTCTGAATTTTAAAAAGAAATGCACTCAACTTTCCATTTCCAAACGAAACCCTTGTTGTGCTGGCCAGTGTTGGACGGGGTCTTCTTCGGTGGTTGCTCACCAGCTAGGAAAGTCATAACCCAGCGGACAGACAGGGCACCGAGGACTCGCCCCGCGCTCACTTGCCACCCGGAGTTGAGGTGAGTGTTCCGCGGAGAACGTGCCACTTGCCACAGCGCGGGCGGAAGGACGAACGAGTGGGTGGAAAGGGGGGGATGGGATGCGATGGATGGCAAGGGTCTCCCCTCGGGAGTCATGTAGTTGAGTACGGATTTGAAGTAAATTAAAAGTCACTCACACCCGAGGGTTACCGCGTCGAGTTCATTATTATGATATTTGGTGTCAGCGCCCCGTGTTGAGCCAACCCCTCTGCCCTCTGCCCTTCCACCCATCATAGCTCTACTCTCTAGGGCGTGGCAGAAAGATGGGTATAAGAAGAAAAAAAACCGAAACTCAATTATAACAATATGCTCAGATTTTCCTCTCCTTAACCGGAGCAGAGGTTTTTCAATTTGTTGGGCAAACCTGCTACCTGGAATCGGACAATGGCAGCGGATGATGCTTGGTCATAAACTATCCCAATAACCATAACTATGAACTAATAAGGCAGGGTGAGCAGACAGAGAGAGAGAGAGAGAGAGAGACTGAAGATCTCTTAACACGGCATCAAAACAAAGAAAGTGGAGCAACTGTTGGCCATTTGAGATCCGAACAAGAAATGCTGCTAATCATCGGACAATGAAATAAATTACAAACATTGTTTGCTCGGACGAGAGTCCGGGTCTTTCGAAGTTAATTCAGAGTCTTCGGAGTTAAGTTGATCATTGAGAGGAGGAGGGTGGGAGCCCGCTTGTGGAATGCCTGCTGTGAAAATTGAAAAGCGTTCGAAAGGCCAAATAGAAAAGGCGCAAAGATTAACACCAAAGGAGAAAAAGAAAAACAGTTGAGAGCGTTTCGAGTCGACTCATGTTGCACGTTTATTCAGAGTGTGAATAAATTAAGGCATCAAAAATCATAATACAAACGATCCAGCCACGATAAACACTTTGATTAGCGTTCAGCTGGGCTTCGACTTCAGCTTCGACTTCGATTCCAGCTCGTAACCCCCGCTGCGAAATTGAAATGGAAGCAACTCCCGACGCGGGGCCCAAAGTCGATAAGTCGAGAGAAGCGGCAAACACCAAAATGCCCATAATTATGACAATCATCTCTGGGATTCACTAGGGGGAGGGGAGCTGAAGTCCAAGACCAAGACCAAGTCCATGTCCAAGTCCGAGCTGTTTGGCCGCTTTATGATGGGAGCGCTAATCCCCATTGTTGGGTCCCTTTGTTGGCTCCCCTTGTTGTTGGCTTAAGAATCTGTTACAGAAAACTTAAAAGCGTCGCTTTAATAACTTTATTGATTTCGATTAAGCGCTATAAGGTAGGGTGATCATAATCATCATCATCATCATCATTATCATCATCATCTTCGTCAGCACTGCCCCCAACACTAAGGTGTTTAAAGTTCTCTTTTTGGTTTTTAGGAGGCTGAAATGATAGGATATTAAGTTGGAAAAAAGTAACTAAAAGTTAGTTTATGAAACTGTTAAGCTAAGATTTTCCTTTCAAACATTGCATTTCGAAAGCTAGTTCTATTGGTGTAAAGTCAACCCCTAAGTATCATCATTCTTAACCCTTGGTAACTCACATTTATCTATCATTCTAAATACCTTAACTATTATACAACCGAAATTAGCCTGCTTAACCCTTGTTATCCTTGTAATTTCCATCTATTCCAGCATTTCCCCTCCTTGTAGCGCATCACACAGCCTCATATAACCGAACCTTATACACACACACACCCATAAACAATCCGACAATGAACAATAAGCTTAACAAAAATATTTTCAGCTCAATAAAAAACTCATTTACAACAAAGCCCGAGTCGGGGCAGGGGAGTGAGCTGGCTTCGATGGGTATTCACTAGCTCCAGTTTGGGTTTTAAGGAGCTGGGAATGGATTCGAGATCGACTTGGGCTGACTATTTGTATACAAGCTATCTCTCGCTCTCTCTCTCTCTCTCACTCTCTCTCACTCTAGCTATCTCTCTCGCTCGTAGGCCGGACAAATAAACTTAATGAAAAACGTGTGAAGAATAGTTAAGAGCGGCCAATTTGATTTGCATCGAAAAGTAATTGAGCCACAAAAAGGGGAGGAAAGGGGGAAGAAAACAAGAAGAAAACAAGAAAACTAAAGAAATGGAAAAGAAGTTATGAACGCTCCAAGGGGGGGCACGAGTCTCAAGAAGAAGACAGAAGAAGAAAGGGAAACAAAATCAAGATGAAGATGTGGAAAATCTTCCAAATCATGCACAATTATTAAAATCCATAAACGTAATAATCATATCAACAGGCAACAATAACAACCAGGTGAAGCCATTAACAGCATGCCACAAAAACATACAAGCATGAGGATGGGGAGGGGCAGGGGGGGTTAGGGGATTAGCAGGGGGAGGGGGAGTGGTCTGGCAGGGCCGAAAGCGCGAACACTAAAAAATTAATAAGCAATAAAATTGCCATGAAATGAACTACACCACAAATTCCCATGAAAGCGACCGCTCTGCCTCTGCCTCTGCCTCTGCTCCTCCCTCTTCTCATTCTACCTCCTCCCCCGCTGGGAAGAAGAAGAAGAAGAAGAAGAAGCAGCAGAAAAAACAGCCAAAACGGTTAATCGGTTGTACCGTTCAATTTCAAGGAGATTGGCCAATGCCCCAATGCAAATTCAATTGACACTTTGCCGGGCCTTCCAGACAGGTTTCCCGCTCTGCTTCGACTGGCTGGGACCCCATGGGGTCTCGCTCTTGGCCAGAAAGCGACGCTTCTGATCAAACGCAAATCGGTTATGGCCCAAAAGATTTCAGTTTTTAAGTTGCATTCTGATTAATGGTGTTAACACGAAAGGTTGTTATAGTTTTAATTTGGAAAGAAAACAAGGGACTTTTGAGGGAAAATATGCTGAGTATGCCAGGGAAATATCCCTCTAGGAAGCTCTATTTCCAGGGGTTTTCTGGTAAGTCCCTTGCAGAGCTGCCTTTAAAGTTAACTAAATCTCTGATTGATAAGCTTTCTAGAGGCAAAAAGTGATTCCGACTGCTAAAACATATCCAAAATGTAAACTTAAACTAAATACTTATCCTCTTTGACAGATATTTTCCATCTCTTTGTTGATTTAAATCCAAAAACCTGTAAAGCCAAGGACTAAAATCGTTACCAAATGTTAAATGCCGACGGGGAATCATGAATTTTCCACTATAAAAACATAATTTCCTTTGATTTGACCAGTAAAATCAGGCACTTTACCAATATTAAACCAATCCGAAGAATGATATTCAGAGCTGAACCTTCAAATTAATAGGCCATATAAAGCTGATGGTCAGGCCATTAGGAAAGTGTGGAAAACCGCCTTTGAAAACATAAGCAGGCCATTCCTCAAGGAAAACGCTTTTCAAGTATCAGATTTAAGTGTATTTTTGATGCCATTTAAATTGCCATTTATTGAATTCGCCCCCTCAATGGGGGTTTTGGTTAAGGGTTTTCGGGACCTTTGCGCAGTTTTCTTTTTGCTGTTGTTGTTGTTGTTGTTATATTTATTGTGGTTAAGCTCGACTTGAAATGAAAATGGAGTGGGGAGGGGGTTAAATAATAATCGTAATTTGTTGTTTATGTGGTTTTTCTCTCTTTACAGATTCGCATTTTATTCTTGTTTGACAATCGGTTTTTCCTCTTCAAATACAATACAGTTTTCCGCCGCTTTTCTTTGCCTTTCTATAAGTAATATTGTGTGGGTGTTTTTTGTTATCTTTTCTTTCTCATATTTTTAGTATATACTGTACTAGCCTGCTTTTCGTTTTTTTTCATTATTTTTGTTTTTTAATTGACACAAAAAAAATTGCGCTTACTTAGCTTGTGGTTTTCCTTGCCCTTCGATTTGTTTTCGGTTTTTCGGTTTTTTGTTTTCATCTTTTCTTTGCTAAATTAAATTACATTTTTACACACACACACACAGACACATACCCTTTCACACAGTTTGGAAAAAAAAATGTCCTTAGTCGTTAATATTATATTTATAATTAGATTATTCATGTTTCAAGCATTGCTTTGGGCATCAGCCACTCTAAAAAAAAGTTCTTTATATTTAAGTATTTACGAAGTACAAATAATAAATTCATTTACAACACTAATTTAGTCTCTCGCGGGAACCAGTTCTATCAAAAAAAAAATACAAAAAATATATATATATTAAAAAAAAATACAATAAATAAATCACTTAGCGAATATTCAAGCTCTGAACCGAAGATAAAATTCGTGTAGGTCGAAGGTAAAGCAAGAAAGTTGAGCAAAATATTCTAGGAACGCGACAATCAAGGATAGGATGTTGAAAAGCTTAAGGTTGAGGGGGATCTGGGGGATCCTTGCGGGTCTGCTGCTGCCTCACGTGTTGTTGAACAGCAGCGACTCGATGCTGAAGGGATTGCTCCGGCGCATGCTGATCGGCGATGTTTGGTGGACCAGATTGGCCACAGCCGCCGCCGCTGAGGCGGAGGCATTGCTGCCATGATGTAGATGGTGCTGGTGCTGATGGTGCTGGTGGTGGTGGTGGTGCTGCTGCTGCTGCTGCTGCTGGTGGCTTCCATGCCCCGAGCCCTGACCCTGACCCACCAAACCGTGGTGCTGCTGGCTGTTCTGCAGGTTCAGTTGATGGAAGGCCTTGGCGGGAAAGAGCAATGGCTTCGGCGAGTCGCGTTCCCTGTCTCGATCCTCGGACTCATTGCCATCCATCGGCTCCAGCTTGCCAAACTGGACAGCTCCATTCGAGAGCATCGAGGGTGGTGCCACCGAACTGGGACTGCCCAGGCTGCCGCCTCCGCCGATGAAGCTACCCGCCCGCGAGCTGTCACCATCGTTATCCAGTCCGCAATGGATCGATGAGGAGGCACCGCCTGTGGCACCTCCACCGCCACCACCTCCTCCTCCTCCGCCAGCACCCAGGCGGACTGGACTGACGGCATCGCTGTCGCCTTCGTCATCACTGTCCGTACCGCCCACCACGTCGATCTGGATGCCATCGTCCTCGAGATCCGAGTCCGAGAAGGTGCCGTTCGCCTTGTGCTGTGATATGTACTCGGCCTTGAGGGCCTCCAGGTCCACGGTGATGCCCTTGGCCTGCAGTTTCCGGGCCTGCCGGTCAATGGCCTTGGCCAGCTTCTTTCGGCGACGGGCTCTGTGAGGTGGAAAAGATCGGAAAACGCAGGGAAAATGAGTTAGTACAAGGAAATGCTAGTTTCGGTTGACTTTAACTTTGGCTAAGAAAATGTGTTAAAATTTGAAAATATTTTCTGTGGGATACTAACCTCTCTTTGGCCTTGAGCTCGTTGGGCGGAATCGGTTCGCCGCTGCAGGTCTGCGGCTGGGCATTGTGGGCGGGGCGACCGGGTCCCTTCTTCGTGTGCTCGCGCTTACGCACCTTGGCACGTCGATTCTGGAACCATACCTATCTGGAACAAAGCGTATAATCTCAGCAAAGGTGATCGTAACTAACTGCTAGTCATGGGTACTAGCTAAAGAGAAGTTAACTAACTGAAAAGAAAACAATTTCCTTCCTTTGATTGAAACTAAACTCACCGCAACTCTCGACTCCTTGAGGTCCAGCCTCATGGCCAGGGCTTCCCGCATGAAGATGTCCGGATAGTGGCTGGCGGAGAAGGCCCTCTCCAGCTCCTCCAGTTGCCAGGAGTTGAAGTTGGTGCGGGACCGTCGACGTTTGGCCGCACTGCTGTCGTCGTCGCCATCACCGGGGAAGCCTAGGGAGAACAAACGGAAAATGGGAAAATCTAAATGAAATGAAATTCGGGAAAAACACAAGAATAGAGTCATTAATAAGCGGGACCCGCCGGTCAGTGGGAGTTGGCTTATTAAAACAAATTAGGGTGGCCCAAAGCCAAAAAACCCAAAAACTAACCACTAAAAAAACTTTACACACACATGGGACAAACACCCCCGCACACCCAACACACACACACACACACACATAGAAATAGCTTCCTAATACATGGAAAACATGGGCGCAAAACACTTTGTTTCCCGACACTAAAAACCCTGCAATTAAGTGTTGGAAAATTATTTAAATTAGCCAAAGACACACACGGACAGGGGCACACACCGAATGCATAAATATCCATAATCATATATTTCAATTACACCGCCAAAGGCCCCCTCTACAACTCACAATTCACCGCCCCCTTTTCAATTCCCAGCCGCCGGCCCGCAATAAAAACGAAACAATTTAATTACGTTTCTATGCCAGTTCTGTCTCTGCCCCTCTCCCCCACCACCACCCCTCTGTTAGTAAACTAAAAACCTAAAAGATCCGATCTGATCCTTGGCTATATTTAGATTATACCCACCGAAAAGGGGGCGTGGCCAAGACTCACATTCACATGGGAATGCCATGCAAAAGGCCGGGCAATTTATCAAATTAGCTTGGAAGTTGCAACCAGAAGAGGAGAGGAGAGGAAGAAGATGGTGATGGGGCAAGGTGAGGGGGGAGCCAAGGTGTTGGGGCATTAGATGATGGCCACCAGAAACGGAAATACAGCGCTGGGCAGTAAGGGAAGAGCGTTTAAGGCAGAGATAGTAAATATGTTAAAAAAGGGGAAAGCCTTCTTAAAGGCCTTCTCTAACTTCCTTCTCTAACTTCCTTCTGTAATATCAGTTCTGTTAAGTATTAATATCTTAACTAAATTAAATACCTATTAAACTTGTCGAATTTATCGATTTACAGCTTGTAAGAAGTCAGGGAGTTAGGAACAAGCAGAGAGATTGATAAACCTCCTTCTATGATTCTTCATTTCCAATCATAAATCAAGTTTTAAACTGATTTAACTAGCAAATGAATCCCCCTCTTAGTACACCTTAAGAAGAGCCTATCAAATGATTACCTATCGATCATCTTTAGCTAAACCCATTGATTCTTCCACTCAGCACATGGCAGCAATCGAAATAATCGATAGATGGGCACTAAATACAACCCTGGTTATATGCAACTACCACAATTATTCATTGGACTGACTGTCTTTCGGGGAAATGAATACTTAACATAGCACACACACACACACACACACACATACGTACGAGTACGTGCAACATAATCAGTCATTTAGTGGCTATACTTTGTAGCCGTCGGGTGATGAAGAGACCATTCAAAGCGCCGCCACTCATCTGACTTTGTAATCGCATTAATTTGGGTTTTTAGACGGACACGGACATGGGCATGGGCTGGGTACCACCCCCTCCCCATGGCGGCCTTGCCACAATTCTGGGCTACCAACATACGCACACTAACACTAACACACACACACACACATACTGTAACTAACACACAGGCAGTATTAAAGCGCAATAACAAGAGGACGCCCCTAATGAATGGCTTGCATTCTGCTGTTAAGTGTACCTAATTATGCGTGCCGCACTGTAACGCTATCCCTATCTCTTTCGGCCCACAAAAAAGAAACTCGTTTTGTTTTTAAGTGTTTTTTTCGGTGTGTGTGTGTGTAGAGGGCGAGAGAGAGAGAGAGAGGTTAATAACTCAATACAAAACGACGGCAAACACAGAGAACAACAACAGTAATAGAGACATTAAAGACAAAGCGACAAACAAACAGGCCGCGAGCGAGGGAGACGGCCTGAGCAAAGTGCATTCAAATGACTTAATAATAACAGGCCAAGTTTCCAGGGGCGTCGCAGCAGTTTCTATTCTGCAAAATGGGGTGGAGAAGGGAGGCAGGAGGCAGGCGGGCAGTGCATTTGGAGTGCCAGCCGACTAAAAACATAATTCATGTTTTTTGGTTTTGTGTTTTTTTTTTGCTTTTTTGGTGCCACCAAAAACGAGATCGAAAGCAAGAGGAGGAGTGTGGGTGGAAATGCAAACGATAATTGAAATTTATTATGATTATTGCACGCCCGTCGTGTGCAGTTTGCCATGTGCAATGTGCAATATGCAACGTACAGCGGGCAGAGGGCAGCGGGCAATGTGCAACGGGCGGCAGACTGCAATTTGGCAACGTTGCATCGATTTGCTAACTACAAAAAGTCCCCAAAAAGCGGTAACAACGAGAACGGGCATAAGGGCTGGCCTAATGAAAGGGAAGTTCAAAATTAGAGAAAGAAAAAGGAAACTCAACTAATTTGATATTAACTTTAAAAATGGTTTAAAAATGTTACTGAATGATGGGAAATTCGGCATTTTAGGAACAATTTTTAGAACATTTTTTCATTTTAATGAAGAAAAACTTTAGCTTCTAGGCCTAAGCATAACCTGCCTTATTTCAAATACCTATTAAGGTATCAAAGAAACTTTGATTTTTCCTGTTAAAAACTGAAAAGTATAATCCATTGATTTAAGAACTTGAATAATAAGAACTTTTCCTGATTTCCCCCTAAACTTCAAGCCCATTTTCTTCAGTGAGTGGCAAACATTTGGCAACAATTATGATACCCTCGCTAAGGGTATGAAAAGAAGGCGGCGAAATCAGAAGGAACGAGTGTTGTGTTGTGTTGTTGCATGCCTCAGTCACATTCCGTGGCATGCTATTTTCGTTTACAGCGCGCGTCAGCCAGGCAATATAACAGTTACCCAGACGCACACACCATATACAAGCATACACCACACACACCCCCAACCCTTGGTCCTTCTGCCCCAAGCCCCTTGCCACGCCCCTCGATCCTCGCGGGTGAGCCACTTAAGTCATAAAAATTAAAGCGAAAATATAAAAAAAAAGGCAAGACAGGAAAGGAAAGGACCGAAGGCGAAAAGGTGAAGGAGAGAGAAGGAGTAAAAAGTTAAGAAAGGGGTTTATGTCAGGGGTGCAGAGGTGGGAGTCTTGGGTAGGGGCTGTTTTTCGGGCTCAGTTTTAGAGGGAATTTCTGTAATTTTGGATTCTTAAGAATCTTTTAAGAAGGTGAAGAAAAGCAAGCTAAAAAGTGTCCTAAATTTATTAACTTTATCACAGTTTTAACTTTAAAATCACTTTTTTACGCCACCAAATCTTACAATTTCTGATCTTAAAAACAACAAACAGCTTTCACAATACAAAAAGGTTCTCAAATAGCAAGAATAGACAAATTTCCACTAATCAAAAGCAAAGAAAAAACCCATTAAAAAGCGGAAATACTCAAAAAGCCAGCGGCTATAACCAATTTTTGATAAGAAAGCTGAGAATGCGGCAAAATGAAGTTGCGAGGAGGCAAAACGATTTATCATTCCGTCAGTTATTGCATTGGAATGGAACCTTCATGGCATCATTCCGCCGTTCCATCAATGAACCAACTTCCGTTTTGTTAGGAAGGCGGAACGGAAGTGCTCTACAGCTACCTAACAAAACCCCCTTTTTTTTTTTTGGTAATACGGAATTCATTAGGACCAGAAAACAAGACAAGAGGTAACACTAACAAAATGGCGTCTCGGAATCGAGAACTGAAAATCGCATGATAAATGATTTCGATCGCCTTATGACAGTTTCTTCATTTCCGGCGTGAAATGAGCAACGGCAAAGCAAGCGTCATGATGACGTTCCCGCCACCGCCACCACCCATATTCCACCCACACCCATGGATATTCCCGACTTCGGCTTGCATGTCAACTCTCTGCCGCAAAATGATTAATGAGCGATGGCAACCCTGCCTCTCCCACAATAAGAAAAGCAAAAGGGAAAGAAAACACCCACTCTCCATATTCACAATCTGCACAATCGCAGTGCCTAATCAAATTGAATCAAATCAAATTAATAATTACTTTTCAAGAAGGAAATGTCCCTCCCCCCTGGTAGTGCCTCTGCGTTGGCTGGCAATTAATTAAGAGCCCCCGATCTGGGGACAGAACTCTTGGCTGAAAGTCAAAGCCTGGCCAAACCCGCGCGCCCAGCCAAGTGCAGTTAATTACAACAAGCGGGCGAACACGCCCCCTGCTAACGCCCCGACTCTGGATATATGCATTATGGCCATAATTACACCAACTAGCCATCATTTGTTAATGCTAATTGGTCAATGAGCCACAGTTTGTGGGCCTCCTGATCTCCTCCACCAGAGTCCGGTTTTTCACTCTTAAGTTTGGCCATGGCGATGGAGATGGAGATGGAGTCACCACTTAATGGCCAACTGGGCGATCAGAGCAAATGGCGTCCCATCAATTTGGGGTCTACAGTGATTGCTCTCCAAAAAGAAATGAGATTGAAGCGAGAAAGAAAGTAAAGTTAAGTCGCTCTTACCGCAGAAATACGAGATGAACTTAATTCATCATCAAATTGGTAACAACAAAGAAAGAGATCTTAGCAGATCTTTCTTGGCTAACAAGAGTTTCCAGGAATTGCTATATAACGATTACGGAATGGCTAAGGCAATTGTTTGATTACCCAATGGGCGGCTAAGCTGTTGGCTAAGATCTCTCAATTGGATGTTTTGATGGCTAAAGATTGGGTTTCTTAACAGGCAGATAAGGGAATTTGGTAAATGTTTAAACTAAGTTAAGGTGTTAAGAAGTTATATCACTTAACAGACTTTAAATAGGAATATTTTCTGCACTTTTTTTGATAAGAAACGTAGAAAGGAAAATGCTTTTGTTACTTTTTTAAGGAACTTCATCAAGGCACTTAAAAAGTAACTTGACTGAATCATAATCAGCAAGATGATTGATTGACTATTTCCCAATGGAAAATTGTTATTTCAAAGAAGGTTTAACATAGATCAACATACATGATTTAGTATTATAAAGATTCTTAGAAATCAAATGCCAAAAATGGGACCAAATGGGGATCACAACCAATTAAGAAAGCAAATCAAAAACGAAACATCTCCGCCATCGATTCACACTTTGACTATCTGAATGTTTGTGGCTTGTCTTGCCACAGTTTTAACACGATTTTAGGTAGTTAATTTATTGTTTATGAACCAACATGGGCCAGCCATGGACCTACTGCTTAACCAATTTAGAGCTGAGCGACCTTTTCTCCGCCTCACAGCAGGCGATAATGGCTGGCTGGTTCGCCTTACCAATACTTTGTATGCTAAATACAAATCAACGAAATCAATCGGACTTTACATAATAATCGATCGCTGATTAGCTAAATCAATAAATGTGTTTTGCAGGTAGCAAAAGTCAAGCACAGCTGGCTGGAGATTATGCGAAATAATAACAAAAACTAACCGAAAACTAAAGCAGTTTGAGTGACTGACAATGCGAAGGCATTTAGCTGGGCTAATTGAATGAATTAGCATATTGTCCGGCCAACCGATAACTGGCAGGATGAACACGGTGCCTTCTATAGCTTCTATATAGCTGGGTATTCAGATGGAAATTGAAATACGATCCGATCGATCAGCCGGCGCTGACCTCCACTCGCTATGGGGAGGCGCGTGTTCCGTGAGATTTGATAATTCATTAGCCGATCTTCCCCCCTATCCCATCCCCCATCCTGATCTACCTATTTGAAATCTTTATAGCTAATAGTTTGGCGAAAGTCGGCGTTGGAAATTGATTTCATGGGAAAGACTCTCTGGAATGCGAATTTTGTGACGCGAATTCCAGGTTATCATGGACACGTGTCGGCGGTTGGCTTTCGATTCCGTCACCCAAATACCAGCTATTACTTAATTGATCGATCTATGAGTGTGCATTCCCTTAAGTTGTATTATTTTGAAAGAGTTTTTCCATTGTTTGGTTTCTTTAGATACAAAAGTTAACTTTCTTTTGGCTTTGAAAGAGCACGTGAGTGGGAGGTTGCACTCATAAAAAGCTGCCTTTGTTTGGCTTTCTTGATTGGGCTATTGAGTTTGGTTAAGGGGATTAAAAAAGTGATAGAAAAGTAACTATTTAGTACGATCAACTTTTTAGAAAGAAGAGGAATTTAATGGGACATAAACCTTCTGTTTGTGCTTTTTAATATTAATTTAGTTATTTAATCTTTTAAAAGGGAACTTGTACTTTCTTGAAAGGGTTTTATGGCTTTATTGTTGGTAAAAGTAGACATTTCCTTCTTTATTCTGTTAGGAACTTTAACAGACACTGTTAAATATAATATTTTATTTAAGAAAACTATTTAAGGTGATACACTTTATAACTCCAATCAATTTGTATTGCTTAAACCAAAGAAACTAATCATTTTAATGATTAAACAAGAGTTCCTGTTTTCTAACCCACAAACAGTCTTCTCAGTCCTCTCATCTTTTTCTAGAAAGTCTTTCTTCTTTCCTAGATTCTTTCTTCTTTAACTTGATAATCCTCATAGCCATCTGATCAAAATCATCCATAAATCAGAAATATTTCCAACTCAAATTCTTACTTTAGATGTCTGCCTTTTTAAACTTCATTTCGGAACTTTTATTATAAAAATCATATTAATTTTACCAAACATTACCCTCTTCTTTACCTACTACAGTCCACATGCTTTATCATGAACATTGAATTAAGTTCCCAAAAAGTTAAAATCCTTCTTTGGGCATTAAAGTTTAAGCATAGCGTTTGCCAGCTGAAGTTTAACAAAATTTTTAACCAAAGGAAACTTTTGATGCCTCGAATTTCCCCAAACATTTTCCATTTCCCGTTTTTCCGAACTAAAAAAGTTTCAAGTTTCTAATGCTCACTGTAATGTGGCTTAAAAACTGCCTTGAGATCGCTTTCATAATCTTTAACTACCATTTTCCACTTACCGCCATCCTCATTGGATCCTTCGCTGGGCGGTCCCGCCGGCGGCAAACTTTGCCGGTTGCCGATCATCAGTCGATGCTGAATGGTGGCCACTGTACTTGCCACCGCTGCCACTGCCGTCGTTTGGGCCGCACTAACATTCCGCAAAGCCGCCGCACTCAGTCCCGTTAGATTGGCGAAAGCATTGCTGGCATTTACCGCTGCCATTTGTGTGGCAGCTGCAGCGGCTGCCGCCGAATTCGGGTGTCCACCAGCGGAGGCGGCATCGAAACGTGGACGCCCCAAGAACGGTCCATTCGGGCCAAAGACGCCGGGTACGCCGAACTGCAGGAAGGGTCCCCAAGGCGGTACGCGTACGCCATTGGGGGCAAGCTGAGCGGCGGCGGCATAGAGCTGAAGGGCGGCCGTCGGATGGAGGCCCTCGGAGGGCATGCCGCAACCGGAAACGGATGTGGAACTGCTAGTAGAGCCACCTAACAAAGGATGACTGGAACTACGGTGGGCACTGGTATTGCTAGAACTACTACTACTGCTCCGGCCAGTCTCCTCCGGAATTTCCTTGGGACTAAGATTGTTGTTGTTGTTGTTGTGATTTCGGCTGGCACTTGAGTTGTTGTTGTTGTTGTTGTTGTTGGTCAGGAACTTTTTGGTGTCGCCCTCGGAGGTCTCCAAAACCATTATGGTCTTTAGTTTAGGCCATGAACTAGGTCTATTGATGCACAATTTCTGTATGTAGAAGGGATATTCGTGATGGGGCGAAAGGGGGGCGGTGAACACTCGCGTAGGATTTGCAAAAAAAAAAAAGTGATGTGTGTGTGGTTTCTTTCGCAGTGCCGTCGGCCGGCGTTAACCAAACAACGCGTCTTTGCACACTGATTAAATAAAACTGCACTTTGGCAAAAGTTCGGTTTGGTTTCTGGTCGTCCGTTTATCTGGCTTTACTGTATCTCTTTTTGTTTTCGTTGTTGTTATTCTCGGGTGTGCGTGGTGGGCGAGCACGAGAGAGGGCGAGCGAGAAGGAGCAGCAGAAGCGCTCGCAATGAAAATTCAATTTGAACTGAGCAGCGCAATCGAAGCGGCCAGCGAGGTAACCCAGCCAAGGCAGCGACGTCGCCCAAAGCCTGAGCGAGACAGCTTCTAGCAGTGGAGTGTACGTGTGTGTGCAAGCGAGCGAACGTAACGTAAACGGGAGTAAAAGAGAGAGGCAGCAAGGGTAGATTGTTGCCATGTTTTGGGCAATAGTGTGCGAGGGAGAGAGAAATTCATCAGCCTCGGCAACAACCACTTAATTTTTATATGTGCCGTTTCAATTTTGATCAACTGCTGTCGCTCTCTCTGCTCTCTATGCCATTCTGCCTCTCTTCTGCTGCTCTTCTGCTTCAACTCTCACGCTTTCAGTTTCCGTTTGCCATACGACGTGGCCATTTTGAGGCTAGAGCGAGACAAACGTATGGACATTTAAATAGACTTCCATTGGCCAACTGTAAAATAGTGGGAATTGTGGCAGCTGCTCGGCCAGCGTCGCTGTCGCTTCGAAGGCGCTGCGTCGCCATTGCCAAAAACGACTTGAAGAGTTTTCAATTTTCTTCGACTGTGTGTGCGGAGTTTTCCAGGGCGGAGTTATGCGGCATTTTTTCAATTTGCCGCACATCAAATTATTATGCTGCCACTGCCGCTGCCGCTGCAGGCGTCGCTGTCGATGCCACTGCCACAGCCACTGCCAATGCCGCTGCTCTGCCGAAGCGGCGCGGGGCAACGCCATAACCATAAATGGCAATTTTCCTTTGCGACAAATAGAAAATGAAAATTCGTTAACAATTAATTAGCCAAAAGGGAGAGGCTGCTTAGCCCGAAAGCGATTGCAAGGCGTTTTCTGGCCGATTTGTTAGCACTTTGTTAGCGTTTTCCCCTAAAGCAGGGAAATTAAATCAGTTTTTAGATAGAAGTTGGTGAGGAATATTTTATTTATCAACAAAATAAGTTGGTTTTTAACATTATCATTTTCGAGGTTCTTTTATGGAGAAGTTTAAATCGATTTTCTTATATTAAAAAGTCGTTTTAATCAATTAAACTTTATTTAAGGCTAAACATATATTTATTTTCATGAAAATATGTTTTTTATATACTAAAAATCTTGTTTTGTAAAAATAATTTATGTTAATACTAAAAAACAGTATCATATTTATTTTATTTAAGCCTAAAAAGAAGGCCTTGAGCCTTAAACCGCTTTTAATTGAAATTTTCCTTCTAATTTCTCCCTAATTTCTTATTTTATCAATTAAAATTAAACAATTGCTGGTTTTTCACAACTTCAGCAACACGAACGCTAGCCATTTTCCTTTAATTTGTTGACATAAACGCCTCGCTCCCGAATTTCCCGGCTCTCTTGGAGTCATCTCCCTATTTTTCTGATACTGCTGCTGCTGCTGCGCATGAATCATTCATTTTCATTTTATCGAGCGCCAGAAGAGCAGTGCCACTTAACCCATTTGCCATCCTTAACACCCCAATGCCGGTTTTCTCATGGAAAAACCTTCTGGCCTGGCAATCAATGACATTGTATGGGTAGCCCCCCTCGGAAAAGTATCCTTCGCTCCTGTCCCGCCATCCAGCCATCTAGCCATCCCTCCCTATAACCGCCCCCTCATCTGTCAGATGTTTTGTTGGCAGGTTACTTAATTGCTCGCCTCTCGCCTCGCCCCCTCCTGCTTCCCCATTCGTGCACTGGGAAAAAAAAGGGTAAGAGTAGTGCACAGTGAGAAATTGATAGCTGTTTGTGGAAGAATGTTCTTTAGTTTTTGAGATAAAGAAACTGTTTTGATAGGAGTAAGGCGATTTTTCATAAAAATACCTACTACTACTATTACTACTTTACTACTATTTGTACTACTATTACTACTACTTTTACTACTATTACCTACTACTTTTACTACTATTACTACTACTATTACCTACTACTTTTACTACTATTACTACTACTATTACCTACTTTTATTACTATTACTACTAAAATTACTAATATAATTTTTACCTAATTTTCATTATCATTCTCTCACAGTGTATCCCTTTTGCTTTTTCCTGTGGCACTTTCATTCCGCTTTTCCCACTCCGCCTGTCACATGTGCAACGTTGACGCTGTCGGTTGGTGTTCGCTTTATTAATGACTTACAGGGCCAGTGGCCGAAAAGCCAACACCCCCAAAAGAGCCACCCGGAAAATCCCTACGCCCCACCAACCACCCCCCATTGCCCCTACCCTTTGTGCTATCAGTTTGTTAATAAAATTTCCATGCGTACCAAAACTTAATTAATTCTGCTACAGTTTGTTGCAAAAGTTTGCCCCAACGGCGCCCATGTCCTTGGGCTACCTACCCATCCCGACACTCCCCTCTCTCACCACCCTGCAAATCAAACGAATGAATTTTAATTATTTTTTGTGCGCTAGCAAAAAGTTTTCTTCTCTCAGGTTTCAGGAAAAACTTTTTTTATACATATTTCCTTCTTCTTCTTTTTTTTGCGCTTTCCAACAGGAAATGGAATGTTGCGAAGGGAATGATGAGCGAGTAATAAGAGACTAGGAAAGATAAGGGAATTGGGGTTCGTTTTTTACGTTCTTCTCAAGGTTTTTAGCTAATCAGAATTTATTCGAGTGAATGTGATGGAAATCGAAGTGGAAACTGCCGAGATTTGAAAATGAATTACGGTTTTTCCCTGCCAAGATTTGGTTTTGCTTTTCATTATGGAAGGGAACTACGCAAGGAAGTTGATAGATTTGCTTTAAGATGTGATCTAGGATATAAATTTAATATAAATTTCAGAAAATGTTCCTCCAAAACAACTTTTTGTAAAGGAAAACCTTTAATCTGCCATGAAAACCCCTTAAAGCAACTTCAATACTTAAGTAAAATGTTAATTAATTAATTTATTTTTAACTCCCTTAAAAACAACCATTAATAGTTGCTAACAATCTGCCACAAAACCATAAACAATTTAACTTTAGAACAGCCAAAAATCAAAGCTAAACGCAAAGCATTCAGACAGGGAAATCAAATAGTGGGAAATTTGAACGGCAAGGCAGGGAAATTAGTCGTTTGGCCGCAAACAACTCGGATTGGATGTGGAATGTGGGATGCTTTGTGGGGAATTTTCCGCTCAAAATGTCTCTTTGATTTGTCTGTCAAATGGCTGCAGTGGCGTGGGCGGCAAATCAAAAGGGGGCGGGGTAATGGCAGGAGGCAGAGGAGAGGCGGGCGATAGACGGATATGAAAACTAAGGGAATGACAGGCAGGAAATTGAAGAACGGCTCTATGCCATTTGGAAATAAGTAATGATAAGTGGGGAACCCCCCTCCCCATTGGTGTGGCATGCTGCAATATGATATGTGGCAAGAATGCGTATCTTTGGAACTCTTTTTTAGGGAAAATGTAAGTTAAAAATGGTATTTAGTATGTGTTTTTACTAGTATTAAGGGTAAAAACCGAGTTACCAACATTGATGCTAACATTGTGGCTAACATTTCTCATTCTCAGAAGCTAAGAAATGTTAAAAATAACAGAGTTTACTTAAGATTGATATAGAATGTTATGATATTATCATGAATTATGGGAAATTTATCTTTAAAAGCAGGTAAACAGGTCGAATAGTTCCTTTAATATAGTCACAACTACTTTCTGACATGTTCGAATGTCTAATAAATATTCCTTTTACATCAATTATTAACGTAGTAATGGGTAGCATTATATTAACACCACCTAAACCCACTACAATTAAGGATAAATCCGCCCTAGTTTAACTTTTTCCTTCACATTCAAGTAACCTTAAAAGATACATCGAACTAATCTGAATAATACCCCCCAAATACTTGCAATAAGAACCCAGCTACCTATTTATTTCGCCATAAAATCTATTTTAATAACTTTCCTGTGTCTTTTTTTTTTTGGTCCACCCCAAACAGAGCGCAGCTGGAATTGTGACAGTTGTGAGTTCGATTTCGGTTGGGCCAATTAACGAGCGTGTTAATTGGCCGTCATTGGGACAGATAGAGCATAACCAGAGTGTCAACCGCACATCATATTGTGGCCATCAAAAGTTACTAATGCCACGCCCACTTCAGGGCAACCTGATTTACCAGCAATTTTCCAAGCAAAGCGATCAACAGATGCAGCGAGACCACGAAACGGGATCAGAGCCAAATACACATGTGTCGCTAATTTCAGGTCCGACCTGTCCCTGCCCAGACACGCCCATATTTCCCAACAGTTTGTCAATGGTAAAGAATAACAACAATGAAAATCAAAACAAAAGAACAGGAGGACAACCCCCTTGGAAAAGCGCCTTCTGCGAGGAAAACCCTCCCTCTTGCTGGCTCAACTTTCGTGGCTGGCAAAAGTCAAGTCACACAAAATTATGGCAATTACGCTAAGCAGGCCATTTATTTTTATGAGCCCACGAATTATGAATAATTGCAAGTGAAGCACACACAGAGAGAGGGGGAGGGGGGCTGTGTGGCAGCCACATCGTTAGCAGACATGTTCGGAAATCCATTTTGACATTCAGCGCTGACATAATGAAAATGCCGAAACCGCATTCGCATGCCGGGAGTCTCCTCGGCGATTTCATCACGGATCGAAGTCAATCTCCAGAAACACCCACTCCCAGACACCCACACTTAACTAACTCTCCCCCCTCCCCTTTGGCAGGGTGTGTGTGGATTCGTCATTAGGCTCATAAAATTGCAATGACTTGGCTAACACAGACGTTCCCATATTCACACACTAAGACAGCCAGCAATCTTGACAAATCACAAACAGCAAAAGCGAAGCCTATTGTTTAGGTGAGTGATGGCAGTGCTGGTACCCTTTAAAATGGTTTAATGTTTAGGTAACAATGATGTCTTGTTTTGGGTTCTTGAAGTTTTAGGGGTTACCAAAGATCAAGGCTAAGATAGTAGCTTCTCATGCGACTACTTTTCTTTCAACTCTCCTTAAAACTTTTCAAATGAAAACTCTTTTAGTGCCACCAACTAAATCAGGCACCCAT